TGACATTCTCCTCACCTCCGTTACGTTCGTTCTTTGTAAGCCACGAGACGAGGAATTTTTGTAAGCCTCAGAGAGAGTTCATCAGTGTGCTTACAAAGTCTCTTGGGCAGAAACGGTTTTCGCCTTTTCTGATGAATAGGGAGATTTCTAACCCGAAGCGCCTTCTCTTTCCGGGTAAGGGTGAAGCCAATGTCAGACTTTGCGAATTGAGCGATTCGCTAGCGTCCGCGGTCGCGTCGCGGCCAACGAATCGCTCAATTGGCTGATACCGCAACGCGACCGCGGACGCTAGCGAATCGCTCGATTCGCAAAGTCTGACATCAGGCCTAAGAATCCTGAACGGCGTTAGAATCTTCTGGTTTCTTTTTGCCGTAGCATCGTTCCGATTTTGCAAGCTCTGAAACCTCTGTCATGAGAAAAGTTAGACTGCTGCTGCCAGCCCCGCAGCTGCCCTTGAAAATATTCCACTTTGAAAAAAACGATTTTGAAAACAGCGGAAGTCATACACTCCAACCATATCCCATTTCCATTTTGGCTTAGCTTGGTCCATTTGTGGTATCCCGACAAGTCACTTATTGTGTTTTTTTTTTTTGGTAAAGTAGATTTACCTGGTAAAAGCAGTGAACATGATAGCTGGAGGGTGGAGCGGTTTTGAAAACGTCACCGAACGTAATTGGTGGATCAGAGCTCTCAACGAGCTGAGAGGTTGGGCTGGGACCACCTCCCGACGCCCTTCGACCAATAACACCTAATGACGTCAACAAAATCGCTCCGCCCTCCAGCCATTCGTTGTCACATGTCTTGTAATGATCAACATACGGACGAACCAGAGTGTGTGCGGTACGATAGAGAATCTTCATTAGATGGAAGCCTCTTCAGGTCTAAACTATTCTAATGCTCATTTCAGCTCAAATTCCACAATCAGATCGGGCACCATGTAGTCGATTAGCGTCTGACCTCATGCAAATGTACCTTAACAATCAAGACACTGATGTTGTTATACGGACAGAAAGCGGTGATCTGCATGCACACAAGTGAGTTTTTTCCCTTCAAAATCAAGGGCACGAAAAGTTGGTCACCGATGGAAATGAAGGGAAGAGCTCGACCAAGGATGCAGTCTTGAAGAAAAAAAAACTAGAAGCAACGGTTTAAACCTGCAAAGCGAACCTTTGTTCTCCACTGTTTTACGTTGTGGGCGAGTCGCATGGGTGCTGACGTCATCGGAGTCCGCTCTGCGTCTTCGTGCTGAAAGCGTCCTAGAGCGACGGCGCAACGGGGAACAGCAGCTGTAGTGGCCAGTCGGTGGGCGGAGAGTGGGAAGAGGCGGTAAAAGGGATGGGAACGGTTTCATCGAGCCGCCATAGGCCTTCAAAAGCGCCCATTCTATTTCTTCAGGGCCACAGAATATGACGCATTTTTCAGCTCTTGGCGTTTCGTGGAATCTGTCTTTAACCAAGTATTTCCAGTAACATTATATACTAAACACAGCGACAAGATCGCTCATAGTTTAATGGGTCCATTTACAATTCGCTTAGTGGGGTTCTTTTCGGGTTTCACAACAGCACGTTGGTTTTTTAACTGGTTGACTTGGTATACTGTAGCCATTTTGCGACAAAAAAAAAAGTTATGTCAGTCTTGGTGTACGTCCTATCCAGTTTATTTTACTGCCCAAATTAGATATCTACTTCAATTTTTTTCTGTGCACCAAGATTATAGAGGTGGTTCAAGGCGCTTACACAATATAGGAAACTTGTGATGGCAAGTGACTTGAAACTCGGTGTGAAACAATTTGTTCTGTTTGAAACGAGATTTTGAGCCTCAAGGGGGGCCGGAGGAGCAGACTCCAGGGTACTGCCAACAATTTTTATTTCCTGCCGAAGTTTCTGGCTCCTTCTAGGCTTGGTTCTAGAGGATGCCCCCGTATCTTGTGATTGCGCCCATTTCTGATAAAACGAGAAACCAGATCCCAAGAAATTCACCATTTTCAGGTGCATACTCTCGGCAACATGTCCATTTTTCCGACAGCAACTGCAGAAGTCGAAACGGATAGAAATGAAAGGGTTAATGATTTTTTTTTACTTTGTGCGCTTGGAGCCAAAAGATTTAAAAAACAATTTTTATAAAACCCGTTTCAGTTATTCGCGAAACGCCATCCACTTCTTGTTATCATTTCTCTACGGTGGTCTCACGTCGATTCCTGAGGAGGTAGGTTACGAGGTTCTTTTATACCCGGTTTTGATTTTATTCATAATAACGCGCTAATATGAGAAAACTCGGCACCCCGGGTTTGGTTCGGCGTACCCGATCTCTTGCTGTCCGGCAACTGCGCTAAGCAGTTACACCACGAAGGGGCGGCCGGCGGCTACCATTTCACCCCACTCAGCTTCGAGGCGTCAATACCCACCTTCAAGTGGTAAGGCAGTCGCTTCATCACGGTTTTAAGAATAAAGAAGTCCTGGTCAAACGAAAGTGCTTGGGGAGCGGTTTTGGATTTGGGGCCGCAAAACTTGATGTACCGTAATCCCGAGACTTGCACCATAGTGCCCCTCACCCTATTGGAATGGACCCGGAAGCGCAGCAGAGGGTATATAAAAAACTCGAACTAGATGTTCCCCGTGCAGGAGGTAAATATTGATCACCTATATTGCAGACATTTTTTCTCGATAATTGTGTAATAGATATTTCAGGTTGACGTTTGGGAGGTTATCGCCTTGGCTACTCATCTAAATCATAAAGACCTAGCCGATGTCGTCATTTTACATTTAAAAGCAACGAGGTGCCACTGGTTCCATCGAGTGAGTTGCAGGCCCCATCTGCTTGTTTCTCTGCTACATTTTGCTACTGTTGTTGTTTCATTTTTTTTACAATCTCTGATTGAAGACACAAACCGGGGGTCCAACTCTTCATTAGGGAAAATTTCAAATCGGTGAGGACTATCCCTGTCCAAGAGGGCGCTTGAGCGCCAAGCGGGGTTAGGGGCAGTACAGGGTTCTGTAAAATTACTCCAATTATGATCGCCTTATAAATTTCACAGGATAGTTGTTTCCCACTGGTAACTAGAACAAGACATAAAATCACCAGATTTCCTATTTTTCATGTTATCTAGTTGAGAAATCTCATTTATTACCTAGTCGTAATAGTTCGACAAGGTCTCCTGTATTAGGGAGCATGCCTGCCGTAGCGTTCTATACATCCCAGGTTATGCACCTGCCGGGCACCCGACAGGAGGCCCGTCTCGGGGCGAAAAGGTAGTGACGCAGGCGAGTATGCGGACGAGTCGCAGCGCGTACTGCAGCGATTTCACGTCACCTCGAATAAAATCTCCCATAGTATAAAAATTATACAAATTGCATTCAAATGCCACTACAATTTTGGCTGAAAGTAGTGTGCATAGGATGCCAGAAAAGGACTCATCAACGCTGGATTTTTCATCCTTTTATCCTTTCTATTAATAATCATTATTTATTTCATTATAGCCATGTGCATCATGCGTGTCAGCTGTATTCGATGCTCTCCCACAATTCGCGTCAATACGATGTCTAAAGCCACTTTACGACGAGGTAAATGCTCGTTTTCAACTACGGCATGTTGAAGATCACCATGCTATGTTTGTTTGTTTCGAGTGAAATTAACAACTCCTGGTCTTAGGGCCCCTGACACTTGGAGTGCATCCACCTCTGGCATAACGGATGTCAAGATCATGAACCGTAGTTCCTATTCAGCTGCGCTGCAGCGTAATGCTCGCGATTTCCACTAGTACTTTCTAATGTGCTGAACTCAGACGGCCTAATGAGAGATCATTCCAACGGCAAAATTAATGAACTTATTCGGGGGTATGCGTGTTTTTTTTTCGCAATTTAGTGGATATAACTTCCTTCAAAGGAAAAGGAAGGGAAAAGAAATGGGGTGCTGCCAACTAGGAAGATTTTTTTTTCAAAACTTTACTGAAGTACTCGGTAAATTCAGTATATTTAAAATGGCCCCATTGAGGATTTTTGCTCTACAGTGAATACTTTGTGATGATTGTCCCACTTAGGTGCTGATAAATTGCTTTGTTAAAGTTAGCCTTCTCCAAGGAACACTTGTTTAGGCACTTGCCTGGCAAGCGCGGCACTTTGCTCGAATCTGGAAGGGCAGAGTATTCGGTCATTTGAATGAACGATGGCAGCGAGAATGCTATGAGGCCATTATTCAGCAAATGGATGATGAAACGCTTATCGATACAATACTTGGATGTGAGCGGTTACAAGTGAGTACTACTGTGTGTCATATGCCTTTAATATTTTTACATGTCAGAAATATTCGCTTATGCTTTTCCCACCTACGAAGCGCTCAGCAACTCTATTTCATAGGGTGAATTTTTACGACTGCTAAAGTGGATTACGGAACTATATTATATCCTCAGAGGAAGAGAACTGAAACGTGCAGCCTTTATAGTGACCACGTGAGCTCTTTAAAAGTGACCACACCCACCACACGCGCGGTCGAGAGTTTGAGCCATATTTGCCAATTGCATAGTCCATATTGCTTTCGAAACTGATATGAAAACTTATTCGCTAGTATTGATGGATCAAGCCAAAAATGTGCTAATACTTCCCCACCAAAGTAATTTTGCACGGCGGCAGACCGACGTCGTGTGGTGGAGATTGCACCCTTATCATTGGTCCTCTTTAGCGTGGATATTGACCGACCAATGACAAGGGCGCAGTATGCATATAAGGATTGATTCCTTTTAGGGCTTCATTCGCCCTGTTCAATACTAGTTGATCAATTCTACATATCTCTTTTACATATGCAACTCTTCTTACATTTTTTTGAAACTGATCCCTTACCTAGACAATCGCGTATTCTGACCATAGCTTACGATTACCTCCTTTTACCCATTATGTTATTATTTATTGTATTGTTATATATTATCTTATACTTATTATATTATTTTGCAATAACTCCGTTTACTCCAGGCATTTTCGGGGCAGCTGCCATCCAAACCTTTGGTCTTATTGTTCGGCAGAGCTCGCATTAGTGGAACCTACAGCCCCATGAGAATTCCGCCTTTCCCGTGTTTATCTCTTGCAGCTTGTGAGCTATGATGCTCCTTCCACGTACTGAATGCACCAGACAAAGAAGGGACCTGAAATATCGAGAGCAGTTTTCTCTACTTCTGAGTTCGGCACGGTGATCGCAAGCAAACATCGGAACTCCTACTTTTGGCTACGTTGTCTGCAACACTCCACTTTCCTACTTGCTTTCAAAGAGGCTACCACAGCACTGCGTTTTAGCACCCTGTAGGCCGTCCCTGCACTTCTATGCTCTTCAGTGGCAATAAAGCCACTCCCCCTTCAATTCAGGGTCGGTCCTATCGTTGTTACTTTCTGAAAAATTTTACGACCCCCCTCCCCCAAGGTGGATTTGATACGACCCCCTTTTCGACCCTCGACCACCATCATCGTCTCTATAGTACTTAATTCTGATACCACTCAACCCACCAAACTCCGCCCACTTTTTCCTCCAAAAATGCCGTCGAGCGGGGGGTATATAGCTACTCTGAAACAGTAAAAATTCACCTAAACTCCCTAAATTTCCACCATTTTACTCTTACTTTTACTTACTTTTACCCGCGCTTTTACACACTGAAACGGCGAATTTTTCTCCCCCGCGCGCTCCCAACTCCCAACCTATACGACCCCCCCTCCTACAAACTCACCCAGTACGACCCCCCCCGTTGTTACTAGTAACAACGTAGGGTTGACCTTGGCTACAATTACAAAGATAGCCCCTATGTTGGGAAAACTTCCCGCGGTTTGCAGCCGCAGTTGACTGAAGTAAGGCAATGAAAAATAAAATTCTGAGACCGTAGGCATTTTTGCGAACAGGTGGAAATTTTTCAGATTTTTCTGACACTCTAAAAAGCCTCCCACCCCCTCGCTCCCTCCCTTTTGCTCCATCACACGACTACTGTAGCCAAGAAATGAGCCCCATCAGTCGAGAGCGCTGTGTACTCCTGAGCTAGCGATTACAGTCTTAATCGACTCGCTACTGATTACTTTATTCCACTTGAAGGTAGAACTTTCTGTACAGGAGCCACTTTAGATGTATTAAAATTTCGTTACGAGCGCATTTCAACTTGCATTGAATGACAAGAGCTATGATAAATCTCGTGCTCCTATCGACCTGTACGGGGTCTGAATGAATTCGAAGACGAATGGTACCCCTATTTTTTAATTTTTGCTTATTAGTATTTATTTATTTATTTTTGCATTTCTCACTTCTCACTTACTCTCTACATGTTTTTCTTTTCTTTAATTCAGTTATGTTTCTTTAATTATCTTTCATTTACAGATAGCCCTACCTCGGTCGAAGTCTGAGTCTGCATTGGCTGTTCTTCTTCTTGTCGACGACGTGCTTGAAGTTGCCATGCAATTTCCTGGTTCATTCCTTCCATTATGGTCGTGCCCCAATCGTTTCTATTTTTTTTTTTTTCATTTCAACAACAAGGCAAAGTGAGTGAAATATGCAACATTACCTTAGTATTGCTAATATGCAGTACTACTCAAGAAGGCCGAGGCAGTGACAGCCGTCGTTTGGGCCGCGAGTGGGGGAGCGAGGCTTAGAAATGGGACGAAAAAGAATTTTGGTATGGTGAAATTTCCGATAGTTTTGCGGTTCCAACAGTTACACATCCCCCCCTCTTCCTCATCATCCTCGGCCTCTCGACAGACGTGTTTCGGAGTTTGGGGATGGGGGCTGGGTTCCGAAATGTGTCAAGGAATGAAGAAAGGCTGAAAGTTATGCACTCATCACTTTAATAGACTCAACATGATCATGTCGGAGGAGGTCGTTCTGTTGGGCTCCCAAGAGGGCGAGTGTGTCCAACTTCAAAAATTCCCAAAGTGCTTGTTGACTCTAGTCCGAGTTACCCTGCTGATATTGGTCATTCCGGTATTCGAATTCACTAATGATGTCCGTTTCTTGCTTTACGTAAGGAAGCATTTTTCAGGGTTTGGCTTTGAATCTCGGCGTTTTGGAGGGACTGCTACCATCGGTTGTGCACTCCTTGTCGGCAGATGTGGCTATCAAAACCTTCAAGGGTCTAGACCATTTACTGGAAGAAATTCGGACTGCGCCACCATCGCCAAGTCGCGGCCTAAGTATCCCCCTAGATGAGTATAGCCCGGTGAGTGATGTTAATGAATGAATTATAAGAGGCTTTTTGGGTTACCTGAACCCGACTTCCATAAAGGGCTTCCGTTTTCCAGAGGTTCTGCTCTCTAGTACGACGCATCTACGAGTTGGTCGATAAGCATTTGTTACATTATGCGGCATCTGTAGTGAAGGCTGATGCTTGGAATCTCTTGTCTGAGCGACAACAGGCCCGAATTCAAGAAGGTAGGAGCAAGATTCGAAGGTAGTTAGTGGCAGTAGCCTTCAGTTCCTTTTTAGCTGGACTTTTTGTGGAAATTCGTCAACCGAAGGCTCCTCCGCCTCGCTTTTCCAGCCACAATCGAAGCTATAAGCGCTCAGCTTCAGCAGGCGTGCAATTCTCAGACGACACGTTCCAGGAGCGATCTCGGTCCATAGAACGGTAGGACTATTTGCTAGTGTTCTTTCTACTATTACTGTAAGGAACCTACCACCTGTACTTAGCACGAGAAATTTTGGCTTATATAGCGCATGAGCATAGGAATATTGCACGCTGTCGTAAAGCGGGAGGGGAGTGGGACATTTTATCGTAGAACGCCTAATCATGTGTGCATTTGTAGCGGCGCCAGCCCCACGTAGCGCTACTTCAAATAAGCGCGGCTTAGTGGCGGCATGGAGAAGCAGGCAACTCGTCACACGCCGTTCTCGAAGGGGAAGAGTAGACAGTCAGTTGTTTAGGAATCTTGTGCTGGCTTTTTTGGTTGCTTTTTTATGTTTTCAGTCACTCAGCATCAAACTTCATTAGTCGTACTGCTGGCTACCCAAAACCATATTGATAGGGATTGTTGCTTTAGTCAAACATGCTTTTAAGTTACGGCAGTGTGCTGTGCGGAGTTATCTCCCGCGCCATTCATAATTTTTCTTGTGATAGAGGTTTTTTTGCTCTGGGATTGTCGAGGAACACAGTTTCAAGGCAGAGGATAGGATTTTGGAGGAAGGAGTTCTAAGTGGATGGATCGACCTCGCAAAAAAAAGTTTGCCGCCTTCCTGATCGCGTTGCTGAATCTTTTCTTAGCCCTTCCTCCCCCTCTTCCCTCGTCCATCTCATGATAGTAAGAGAAATTGAAGTTGAAAATATATGCTTTCAGGGGGAGGCCGTTGTCAACGATACAGCAGACCGTTCCCACCAGTGATGACATTCGAGAGAAGTGAAGCAACGGTCAGTGAAACGCCGGCAAAAGAAGCAACCGGTAGGAACGGAAACGAGAAAGGAAGGAAGAGATGGGATTCTCAACAGGAAAGCACAAGGACAGCAAACCAGGTGAATGATTGAATTTGAATGTACTTTTGTATTTGCTCTTCAGTACTCAGCGTGGAGCGGGTGCTGCAAAGACGTGGTCTGGTACCATTGAGTTCTAATCGAATGAGATGTAGATGATTTTGTATTATGCGTTAATCGTTGTGTTGAGTTGTGAAAAGAAGGTTGATTTCTTAGTAGTTAGGAAATACGTAGAATAGATGGCGACAGTAATAGAAAGGTTGTTCTAGGACAGTCTTTGATTTGATCGCAGCGAGGGGCTCTGGCATCTCGGAACTGCCGTATTCGTAGGGCTGATGCGCAATAACAATCACAGCAACATTACCGCCAATGACATATACCTTTGTGTCAAAAATGGCTAGGCCTTGCAAGGACATAGGTGGTTATGTTCACAGGTGCAAGGACGTTCCGGTTGTTATTGAGTTTCACCATTTATTTATTTTGATTTTAATTTTTAATTCGAGTTTTATTCGAGGAGAGGCAGTTGCATCAACTACACGATCAAACAGCCATCAGTGTCGCGGCCCGCATCAAATGAGAGGAAATCCGTTTCTCGGTCGACCTCTCAGGATAAAGCCGCGAGCTTACCGACACAAGAGGAGCAGTCCGTCGCTTCTGCTGAACAGCTCAAAGAATCAACAAGTGTAAGTGCAGCTCCACTGAAAGCATATGTTGAAGTGATGTCGGCGGTATTTCTTCTGTATAATTGACGCTTGTGTCGTTCTTGTCGCGTGGCCTTTTATGGAACGCTCCCCCCCCCGTCCTCCCGCCCACAGGCGGCTTTCTTATGGCGGTTGCATCCCTTTTTTTACTGCAAGGCGATTTCGCAGATTTAAATTTCGTCTCATGGTAGACGCCTGCGGAACAGGGTCAACCGTCCGTTGGACAAAGTCCAACGCGACGACGAGAGTAATGCCGAGAGTGAACGTACGCACGGAGACACAGACGGCTCGCGGGTGGCGAGAGTGAATGCCGGCGCGGAGAGCGGTGAACATCGGTCCAACGTCGCTCCAATATCGGTCCAACGTAACGGTTGACCCTGCTCTCGGAGCTCCACACACGACACTACATTTTTACTACTTGTTCTGAAATCTAGATTCGAGAAATTTTCATTTTGATATGAATTGGAGGAATCTTTAATGGAACGCCTACGCCGAACCAGGGCCGAAAGGGTTGTAGTGGCAAGTGGCGTACCTTACTGTGTGCACGATTTGGGGATCAGATCCCGCTTCCTACGTCGCCCAGGCCAACCAAACTGTCATCCTCAGGAGACGGCTAATTAGTATCAAACACATTGGTTTGAAAGGATAAAATCAGTGTCTATTTTGCTCTAATTACCGATTTTGCCTTGCCCTAGGAGCGATAAAATATCATTTCACAGGAATGGTAGACTTGTAGTCACTCTACGAATGTGATTTTTCAGAGCGCCTCTGTGAGGTCAGACTCTCCACGTGGTAAAAGCGCCCGTCCAAATGATCAAAAGAAGTCACCCTCAAAAAAGAAGGCAATTGAGACAGAAGAGGTGAGTCTGTACTCATCTAATCTAGATCTGTATTGCTCGATATTTATATCCTTGGCCGTTTCCCAAAATCCAAACCGATAGGACTTGAGACCCCCAGTGGATTAAAGGCATATTCCACGACAAAACAAAGTTATTTTATCAATTCTTGGAACAAGATCGAGTTACCCACGATTGCAGAATATGTGCCTTGTCGAACCTTAAAAGTATGCGACAAGGATGCTATGGCCTTGTGACCGCCGCTCCTCTTGCTCCTTGTGTCTGTTGTCGTTCGTCTGCTATGCTCCCTCGTCTCCTTTATATGTTCTCGCTGATGAAATACAAAGGACGAGCTCTAATAATCCCAGTTGAAGCGCTTCGTGAGATTTGGCAGCATCCAAGCCGGGAAAACAGGATAGTACACTTTTGGACGGAAGACCAACCCTCTCACGTTGACCATCCTTCTTCAGATGGTCTCGATGCGATCCGCTACCACCATCAGCCTTGAAGGGTCCCCAACATCCCTACATACGAGAACCCCCCCCTCATATCTGAACATGTCTCTCACCTCGTTATTTGTTTCTGACACCAGTTCATACTCTCCAACTCTGCCCACCTTTCCCCTCAGAGTGGCAGTTGAAGACGATCCCGTTCTTTCCTTCCACAACCGCGCGACCCCTCCAACTTCCACAAATAAGATCCCCTTCTGAAATTGTCAATTTTCGTCAACTCCAAATGCGACCGCCTTATGATAACCGCAAATACTACCCGCTCGTCTGACTCGGTCGGACAGATGGTTGACCCTGTTTGAACTATAGATGGCACCTCCATCTCGAAATTTGTCTGGTAAAACCGATAAGCTCCTTAACGCTCCTATTTTTACAGTGTAGCAACGCTGGAAGAGTACCGATTTTATCAATTCATTGTCCTTGAATGGAGCTGTACCCTTTCAAGTGATGGGAGCCAACTCATAGAATCATCAATTGGATCGTCATCTGTCCCTAAAACTTCATCTCAAACCTTCTGAAAGAGAATTAGCTTTCTTTTCCAGATTTTCCAGTCTTCCTTGTTGCTCTCTTTTGAAAGAAGGTCAAATCCATTCACCCTGCTTCATGTCAAGTAAAATAATTGCTTACAGGGACGTCTAGAACGACAAGCAACACACACGATAATGAACGTAGATCGAGGAAAGGTCGCGGAGCTTCCTGGTCCTGGACCATCACCAACAAAGGTATATTTTGATAAACATGAAGATTTCAAGTATTCTTTGATAGTTTTGTAAGCAATTCACGACATTTCAGACCGCTGAAAAGCCGAAATCTGTAGTCAAGCCGATGGTAAAGGATCCACCATTAGCTAGCTCCGCCCCAAGGACCGTAACGCGATCAGCGCCAGCAAGGCCGACCAGAGACGTAAGTTACTTTGCGTTAATAAACACATTACTTACGTTCCATTTCATCACGCATCGAATATTTTTACTACAAAAGTATGAGTTTTGGGTGGAGGTGGTGTGATATCAAGTGGCGCCGCTTACCACGCACAGGGTCCGGAGAATCGAATCCTGGCTCGTGGGCCTTTTAGACCAGCCAAGTTTTCTATCTTTCCCCGGTTGGCTAATTGGTGCCAGACAAATTTAGGATAAAGCACTCACTTTTACGTCGACTCCAAGTCATTGTATGGACCAACTGCATTCGAAATGCCACTACGATTCTGAATGGAAGTAGAGTGCGTGACGTATTCCTTAGAAGAGCGACCAACCACGGATGCTTCATACTTTACCAGTTTGGCTCCGCACACAAACGCGTGCGCCACATTGGGGCCCAAAGATCTTGAAAAAGCCGCGATCGATACCGAGAAGGAACGACCCCGCCCATCCAAGTGCATGCTCCGCCCACTATGGGCTAAGGATTGAATCTTCCTTCTTCGCTAGTCTCAGCCCCCTTTTTTCCGGTTTTCGGGCAGCTTTTGAACAACTTTGTGAATTAAGATTGAGCTCCGTCAACTTTAGTGTACCTCCTAACCACTAACGGCGAATTACCTCCCTTTTTCGCCTACCTCCATCCACTTTTTTCCCGCTCTCTGGGACTTCTCCAAGCCAGCCGGCTAGCTTCGTCCCGCGATTTTATTGATTTTATTTGAAATATACTATTTTCAGACGAAAATCGCTAGTTCTGTGAAATCATCGATACCAAAAAGTATGGGTACAACAGCACCATCAAAAGTGTCGCCAGCACGTGGTCCCGTTCGACAGCCCGCGATTGAGGCGAAAGGAACAAGACCGCCACTGGTAAAACGAACCGGTCGAAGTCCAAAGTCGAGCCGAAAGAGTGCCAATTCCATTGAAAAGTGACCATTTTTATGAGAACTTTCATTGATGACGTTGTGATCGCTTTTAGCTCAATGATTTTAGCGATTCCTTTAACGTTGTATTTGTTTGCCTGAAAAGTTGCTATTTTTTATGGCTCTCCGTTTTTTTGAACTAGTATGGTTTACTTTGTTATACAAATCGTGCTGAGTACTTTTCTGAGGTTTATATGTTTTTTCGGGTATCGGACAGCAGCGCGTCGCGAGCGAACGACAGAGACGCAGAGAGCAGCGGACGAGTCGCAGCGCATGCTGCAGTGAATTCGTGTCAAGTTTAACAGAATGTACTGTAGTACGACCCACATTGCTCAGCACAGGCTGCGACTCGTCCGCTGCTCTCTGCGTCTCTGCTTCTCGCTGCAGGACGATCCTGTCGGGTACTCTGGTTTTTTAGTGTATAATTTTCGAGTTGTGAAAATTTCTGCATAACATGAGTCACAGATGAACATGGCTTCTCAGTGCGGACATGTTTTGGAGATATTTTTAGTGATTACTTTCTGCTTTCAAGCCGCCTTTTCCGGCGAAATGGATGAGAGGCTTCTTGTCCCATCGCTTGCACACTTATAAATCCCCAACAAGTCCCGTAGTGAGTCGTTTCATTGTCCACTTTTATGGGTATTAGCGTCTCAGCATATTGTTTTCGTGTTTTTGTCAATTGTCAAGCATTATGTTATGTACGATTATCGATCTCAATAGTGCCGTCAATAAAGGTCGCTAAGTAATTCAAGTTGCTACCATATCGTGTCTAGCTGGGAAATTTGTTAATCGCTAAGGAAAATAAGGTCGGATCGAGAAGAGGAAATATACCAAGTCGAAAGGAAGGCAAGCCCTCCAAAGGTAGGGCAATGCGTGCTTTGCAGCGGAGCGTGTCCTCAACGGCCTGGCAGAGGCAATCAACCTGGCATAAGGCCGATGTCAGACTTTGCGAATCGCGCGATTCGCTAGCGTCTGCGGTCGCGTCGCGGCCAGTGAATCACTCAATTGGCTGGTACCGCAACGCGACCGCGGACGCTAGCGAATCGCGATTCGCTAGCGTCCGCGGTTTATAGATATTATAAAAAGTTCAGGTTTTCTTCAGATCGTCAGAGAGCCTTGGTTTGGATGACACTGCTCGTACTGATCGATTCTCCGGAGAGGCTCATGCTCATGCCTTTGGCGCGATGTGCATTGCGTTGAAACAACTCCTTGCAACCTCGAATTCAGAACAAAAGTTCTGTAGTTGATACCAGCTCGAGAACATCACGAAATCACACACATTGAATTCAAACTCTAAAATTTTAAATTCAATTCTTGAAACAAACTTTCCCTTGATCTTCACGGCCCCACAGTTGCGCATACGATAGCCGCCGTGATCTACCGTCGATGCTCTCGAAGTCAAAAAAGCGCATCCGCCGAAATAAATAAATAAATGAATAAAAATGGAGGGACTGGCAAGAAGTCACAGACTGTGGACATTGCGGAGAGGGCGGACAGCTATACGAGGGGTCGGCAACAACCGTCACCGTTTTTCGAGATAACTTTAACAAAGACATCGTGTATTGAATGCTAAGAGTAAAGAAAGGTTCAGATAAAAGTTCACCGTACAAAGCGTACATCACTGCGTAGCCCAAAGTTGATTTTAAAAATAAAGCCCTTTCCGAATTTTGTGAACAACAGCGGTGAAACGGGGAGAAGTGCGACACATTTTTGTTGTCTAGGTTTCCTGTAGTACAGTGCCGACTCAAGCAGTATTGGACCTTCACTGCATGATTAGCGCGCACGCGTACG